ATGAATAAAAAACAATAATAAATAATGAAAAACTGAAATAATATTAATAAAAAATAAAAAGTAAATAGAAATAATAACAAAGAAAGATAATAAATGATAATAATAATAATAATAAAAATTAGAACTATCATTAAAAATTATAATAAAATAATAATAAAGAATAATTATAAATAATAATAATAATAATAACAAAATTATCAACAATAAAAATAAAACTAAAAAATAATAATTAGAAAAATAAAGATTAATAATAAAAAATAATAAAAAATAATAAAAAATTAAAATAAATATAAAAAGAGTAAATCTAATGAAAATAATATAATAAAATAATGAAAAGAGATACTATAAAATATTTTAAAAAGAAAAATAATGAGATTATGAAATTATAGAAGAAATAATAATGAAAATTAATATGACAAATATAAAGATTTTTAAACAAATAAAAATTAATTTGTAAAATACATCTTTTAATAAGTAGTAAAAACACATTAAGTAAATACAACTCTTATTAAAGCTATCAAACTCATAAAATGTCAAATATTTGTAAATTATGAGTTTTGATGATTATAATATTAAATATAATTTTTATAGTAAAATAAATCTAAACTTAATATTAAAATGCTAATATATTTAATTGGTTATTTTATTATTTTATTTTAAATTTATAAATTATAAATAATTTAATAATTATTTATAATAATTTTATATTAAAAAATTATTTATATTTATTTATTATAAAAAATAAATACTATTAAAATATATATAGTATTAATATTAATTAAGAAATATAAATCATTATTGAGTTTGAAGCAATTTTGATACTTTTCAAAATCAAAAATTTCATTGATTGAAGATTATATAGGCAGATAAAAAAATGTAATAATCACATGACTAAAAATTTTTTAATAATACATAGACATATATTATCTTTTATTTTGCTTTAAACGAATAATTCTTAATATTTAATAAAAATATACAGTATGTAAAATTATAATAGATAATATATAAATATTATATATTAAATATTTTTATTAATAATAAATAAAATATTATATAGAATTCACATACAAATTTAAAAATTAAACTATATAGTATATATATAACTGTATTACTAAAATTTTATATTATATAATAATGTTTTATATTATATTTAATAAAAAATGTAATTAAAATTGCTTATCTAAACCTATTTAAATTTACTTTTTTTTTTGAATTTTGCAGATTTTTTAAAATTGTTAATATAATTTTATTTTTATTATTTAATAATTAGCAAAACTTTTTAGATATTATTTAATAACCTAAATAAATATAAATAAAATATTTTCAACTTTTAATATTATTTTTATTTTTTAAATCTTTATTTTAATTTTTTGAACTTTTTATTATTTATTATTTTTTTTTAATCTTTGTTTTAATTTTTTAATTCTATTCTACTATTTATTTTTTAAACTTTCTTATTTTTATGTTTTTCACTAAAATAATTTAAATTGCATATATATTTATTTTAATTATTATAAAAATTATTTATTTATTATTTAATATTAATATAATTTTAATAATAATTTAATTAAAAATAAGTATCTTTATATTTATATATAATTTAAAATAAATATTCTTATAAAGCTATATATAATAAAATTTTATTAATTTTACAAAAATATTACTTTACTAAATAATTATTTTATTAAAATTATAAATATAATAAAATAATTAAAAAATTCTTAATAATCATTAAATTTTATATTATAATTATCATTACTATTAATTATTATTATTAATAAAATTATCAAAAATTTTATTATTATTTTTATTTATTAAAATATTTAATAAATCTGTTATATGGGAGTATTTCTAGGAAAATCAGGTTCTGAGAAATTTTTGACTAAAATTAAGGGCTTAATACATTTTAATCTAATTACATCAAAAACTAAAATGCAATAAAAATCTCAATTTTGCTAAAAAATTTCCGGAACCTGATTTTCCTAGCAATCTACCCATATTATAATATTAGAAAAATCTATGATTAACTATCAGTTATTATTATCTATATAAATTTAAATTTTTAATTTTTTGAGAAACATATATTTTATCATATGATAAAATTAGACTAATAAAATAATATAATTTTGAATATCTACTTTATTAATCATTTTTACGCTTTCTCTTTTTCTTTACATTTTTTCTTTCTTTTACTTTGATTACTTTAATATTCTTTTAAAATATATATTTATTAACTTTACTTTGTATATTATTTTAATTATAAATTTCATTATAAATAAATCTAAGCAGATTTTTATTGAAGATTCTTCAGAAATTGATATAGATATATTTTGTTAATTTTTTACTTTAAATTAAAATATTAATTTAGAGTGAAATTAACTTCAAAGTAGTTTTAAAAAGTGTTAATATTAGTATTAGAATATAGGAGTTATTAAGTATTCTTTTTGAAATCATTAAGTTAGAGTTTAGGTAATTTTTTATTTTAATTAGAATATTAGTTTAGAGTGAAGTTAGCTTCAAAATAGCTTAGAATTAGGGTTAAATTAGTATTATAAAATAGAAGTTGTTAAATATTTTTTTCAGTTATATTAAATTTCTTAAAGGAAAAAGTTAAAGTCATCAGGTTAGAGTTAAAGTTAAGAATAGTGAAAATGTAGAAAATGTGATGAATTTAATAATTATCAAAAGAACTGTAATAAGTTGTGTAAAGATTTATTATATAAGTAGCATATAGATTTTATTATAGATAGTATAATTAAAGAAATAAAAATTTATTACATTTTATATTAAAAAATTAATATATTCTTTATAATTAAATGATAAGTAATACAAATTCCATAAATCAAGTAAAATTTAACTTAGTAGTATTTTAACTATATATATAGTTATTGCACTATATCAACTAATTAAAAATCAGAGTAGTTATTATAATCACAGTTAAGTTTAATAACAGTCTATAATATTAATAAATTCAATAATAATTTATCAGAAATTATTCCTATAAATATTTTATTTAATTACATAGTTTTTAATTATACTATAAATTTCTTCTATAATTTTTTTAATATTATTATTAATTATTTAGAGATTATTTTTAAAGATTATCTTTAATTATTACTTATTTAATAAATATAAATTATTTATTTTTTAATTTTATAAAAATTTAATTTAATTTAAATTTAATTAAATAATTAAATTTTTAATTTAAATTTAAATCTAAAGAGATTAAATTTGAATTTTTTAATAAAAAGAAAATTTTCTATTTCTTTTAAAATCAAAAAATCAACTTTTTTTAATAAATAAAATATTTCTACTTTTTATAGAACTGAAAATCATTTCTTTTAATAAAAAAAAACATTTTAAATTTTTTTAAAATAAAATACTTTTCATTTTCAAATTTAAAATTTAAACTAATTTATCAAATTAAATCAGATTCAGATTTATAAAATAAAAATTAAATTAAATTAGAATTGATTTGATTTAATTCTTTTAAAATATTATTTTTGATTAATAATAAAATTATTGATTATATAAAAATTTTTTTATTTATATTAAATATTATAAATCTAAATAATTTTATAATTCTAAAATTAATAATAAATTTATTAAATCTTTATAATAATTCTTGAAAAATTAATAATTTAATTTTATAATAATTTTCTTTTTAAAAATACATATAGTTAAAATAATTTGATAACTTAAAGGTTTTTTATTAAATTTTTATAAAATATTATAATACTTTATTCTTTTAAAATATTTAATATCTTATAATTAATTTTTATTTTTATTTATTTAATTATTTAATCATAAAGCTTTTTTTTTATTAAATAAAATAATTTTTTAATAAGAATTAATATTTCTTATTTATTTTATTTATTTAATTTATATTTGTTTAATAAAATAAAATATAAAAGTATATTTAGCAATTTGTATTTGATAACTTATTTTTTAAATTATATTATTATTAAATATAATAATTAAAATTATTAAAAAAATATTTTATATATGGTTATATTTCAAAGAGATTATTTATTAAATTTTACATAAATAATAATACAAATATATAAAATTATTTTTATTTGAAAATTTTAAACTATAGATTTTTTAATATAAAAAATATCTAAAAATGAATATTATTATAATAAAAAAGATACTTATTATTAGAATTATATTGTATTATTAATAAAAATAATGTTGCAACTAGTTATAATTCTATAATACTTATTTATTACTAGTTGCAATTAGTTGTAATATCAACTTATATTATTATAATATTATATTTTTATTTTTATATTATTTATATTTATATTACTAATAATTAAAAATAGATATCTTAATTAATTCTAATATATTATAATAATATTATATATATATAAATTATATTTAGTTTTAATATTATAATAATTATAATATATATTTTTTATTTTTAATATATAAATAAATAATATATAGTTGTTTATTCTTAATATATAAATAATTAAAAAATTATAATATAGTTAATTTAAATTAATAAATACTAAATAATATTTATTAGAAATATAATAAAAATCTTATTATTTATTATATTATATTATATTAAATTATACTTAGATGTTATATTAAGATAATTAAACATACTTTTTATTTAAATATATACTTTTGCATGTAGAAATCATATAAAAATTTTCTTTTTAAATACATATTCTATTAAATACACATTTTTTAAATTTTCATTATAATCATAGAGGGTATGCATTTAGAGAGTTGACTATATTATTTTATAATAAATGTATTTGTAACAACTAGAAGAGCAATAAAATTTGGTATTTGGTATTTATATTACAAATAAAAAAAAGCTATTTTATTAGCTCTTCTAATAAGTTGTTATATGTAACAGTTGTTACAATTAGATTTATCCTTATGTTTAATTCTTAATTTATAAATAATTTATTTATAAAATTAGATTTTTAATAAAAAAAATTGTGTTTAAGAAAAAAGTATTCGAAGTTTACGTTATCATAATGTTAGCTCTAGACGAAATATTGTTAACTTTCAGTACTATTTATTATAGAACGATTGGTAAAATGAAAAAGCAATCATTTATGTTACAAACCACTTTGATGATTTTACTTTTTAATTAAATTGTTTTTTAGGTGGCGTAGAGAAAATCCATTACCCAAACACAATTTCTGTAGGCAATTTTATGACGAACGCCGTTAATTTTATTCAACGCTAAGAGAAAAAATTTGTTATCCACGTCATTGGTATTGCATACTTTTTTTAAAATGTGCTCGTGATACCAAAACCATTATGTGTTACCTTAAATTTGTGACGGTTAAACGGTTCAAAAATGTTAAATATATTCAGACGCGAAAAGAAAAAACTTATTAATTACAATGGTAACAGTATATAAAATTTATTAATAACTTATTAATATAAAATAACGCAAATTACATCTATGTTAAGAAAATAATTTTCCATAAATTATGTGCTTCACGTAACGGTAATAAAAATAAAATGTAAGATTTAATCATTTTTTACACACGAATATTGATGATTTGGTTAGGAAAATTTGTTCTATTTTTAGCAAAGACAAACTATAGACATGCACTCAAGAGATGGAAAGTAGGTGGATCCTAGCGAATTACTTTCTCTCACATTTCCGAATGAATTTATTCCTCTATCCTCCGAGTTTTACCATTAGTCCACAAATTAGCGGTAAAACCTATTAATTATTTACGGTCAACAATTTAGTACACAATCGAATTATTTTTTAAATAATGATCGTTACATAATTTAAACAAGTGCTTTAAAATTTTTATTCACATTTTTAGAGATTTTTAGAGATTTTGCATTGCACGAAACTGGGGGCTTCAATAAAGAAGATTTAATATGAACTATATTTACATTCAGCATTATACTCTTATTAATTAATAACTTTTTGTATATATTTCTGTTAAAAGAAAAATTAGAAATTTCGTTGATAAAATTTTTTCACGTGTTCATTAGCCTAGTATAAATTCTGAATACATTAAATATCAAGTGCATACGATTTATAATTTTATGGATCACGAATAATTGAAATCTTAAACGTCTTGCTTTGAAGTGCAGTGCATTAAGCGTTTACAAAAACTAACTTATCCAATCCAAATTCGTCAAAATTTACCAAAAACATATTGGGTTTTTTTTTAAAAAAAAAGGTGAATCATCGAAATTGTGAGATATTAGAATTTATTTAATATTTTTTTTTTTTTTATATAATGGTTAGTGCAAATCCTTATCAATCGATTTTCTATTTATCGTAATTTATTCATATCTCCAAAAAAAAAAACCCCCATGGTTCTGCATGGGGATGTTGCATGGCATTGTACAGTATCTTAATGTGAAGGTCCATGCCTTTCATATGAATTTAATGTAAAGATACTATTTTTTTTTTTTTTTGTAAATGAATAAATCCAAATTTTTGTTAATTTCAATCAAATTAAGTTTTGGATGGAGTTGCTTAATATTATTCACGAGATAAAGTGATTAAATAAAAAAAAAATGTTGAATAAACCGATCAAAATAAATAAATGGTTAATTAAAAAATAAAAAAATAAAATAAAAATTAGTGGAGTTTGTTTTGATTGATTTCAAAACATAACACAAATCTTATCGTAACTCAAGTTACGGATTTTCCGGATTTACCGAAATCTTAAAGTCCCAACGAATTAATCAATTTTGTAATTTGTAATGAAATTATCCGTTGGAAATTTATTATTTGTCTTGCAAAAATGAAGTAATTATCAATGAATCTTGCCAAGTATCATGCAAAAGGAAATTTCCCAATTCATATGATTCATATATATTAGGACGGGTATCTTAACATTCATTATTGTGGCTCTTTATTTGCATGCAGATAGGAGAACCTAATTATTAAAACTCCGGCAAAACTCCTTTTTACAGACGTGAATTTTTAATTAATAACCGATTGTGTGAGGTCAGACGGATTCTTGTTGGTCAATTTCATTATGGAGGTTTACGTGTTTGTAAATAAAAAACTTTTTTTGCTAACCGAAAGTGTGTTATCTCGCGGAGCACAGAAGAATAATTTGACTAAAATTAGATGTAAATTACGTTCACCCACTTTTAAGTGACACCTAAAAGTGTCACAATGTTATTTCGTAATCATCACCCATTTTTTTTTTTAAAGCCAAACATTGTTTGCGGAAAAACCTTTGGTTTCTTTGACCTGTTCTAATCTAAATTCGTCAATTTCAAATTACACGCAGGACAAGCGCCAACTTTATTAATATAAATGGAAGTGATATTTATTAAATCCCATGGGATTCTTATAAACGATAAATGGATAAATTTTAAGGAGAAGCCATCCTATGTTTCTAGTAGCCCAAAGAGAGGTTAAGATTTTCGATTAGGCTGCATTAAATCATTCCCCGTACGCGAACACAGGTGACAATTTAAAATTGAATTACCATAAACTAATCGAACTTGAAATATTTTGACCGATGAATTAAAAATTCTTTTTTTAAATAATAAAAGTGTCACGAGAGTGATCAAATGATTCACGGTAATGGCTTATTGCGGTACATGGCGACCTGGGGTACATGTACTAGTTAATCAAACAACCGCGCAGAGGGAAGGAGCTGTCAGAATCAGACCAAAAGTATTGTTGGTATCATTGCATGTCAAATCTTAAGCTTATCAGTTAAAGGCAATGATTTAATTATGATCGCTTCATTCAACCAATGAGTAAAATCGCTTCATGTATAAACTTACTCACAAGAGATCATGAGACCTCCCACAAATGAGATCATTTCTCGTTTTTTTTTTACAGAATAAATAATGTGCGCTAATTTTTTTTTTTTTTTTTTTTTTCTTAAATTAATCAACAAAACCATTTAATTTTGTGTTTAGTAGTCAAGACCTAAAATACTTTGATTCTATACACACAAAAGTGAAAGTTTTAAAAAGGGGGAGCGAGCACAAATTTAAAATCTGGGCGATTCTTTCATAAAAGATTTTGGGTTGTATAAAAATCCCTATTTTGGTTTAACCCTTTGGTCTTTCCTCAAAAAAGTTTATTAAACTTGTAAAAAACCCAACACATCAGCCCTTGTCCTTCAGATTAAGTAATCTTTCATGTGAAATTATTGAATCTAGAGTTTTTTTTTGTAGTCTAATAAAAACCTACAAGATTTCATATCGGGTTACGAATTGTGCATATAAACTTCTTCCGTAACCTTTTTTATTCGTGCGAATTTTTAATTTGTTTGTTCGATCTCCCTTTTCCCATTACCGTTTCCATCGAAGTGACCATGTAAATATTTTGAAGCTCTATTTTCACTTGAGACTAGTACAATAAATATTAATTATGTATTAATTTGAAAATCCTCATCCAATAACCATCCCTTTACTTATTTTAAAAAGATACTTTAATTATTAGTGATATTGATTTAAATAGAATCACACCACTCGTCAATGTCACCATCACAGATAATTATATAAATATACCATTTTTGACCGTTCTTTTCTGAAATTTTTTTTAACCCCGAAATTAATTACAAAAAATCAATAAATTCTTCATTTTTCTTTCTGGATAATTTTTTGTTTTTTTTCACCTTCCATATACATACATATCTAATAAAAAAAAATGAATGCTTGCTTAAGTTTCGTTTCCATGCTTAAAAAAACCCCTGCCATCGAGAAAAAACCAGAACAGGCCGTAAGCTTTCGTACGTTGGTTCCTCAGGATTTTGCAGAGGAGGATACCTCTTGTTCCGCTTCCTCGAGTGAGATAAATCAAAATCATTCAAGGTTTAGCAGCCTATCAAGAAAGAAAGATGCTTTACCTCCGGTAACCTCTCGAGTTACATCCTTATTATATGAAGCCGAGTCGAAAGCTACGGCTCGCGATTTCGCAAAATCTGTTGAATTGTTAGAGAAGGCGACGACGTTAGGAAGCGCTTGCGCCGCGGCAAAGTTGGGGTTGGTGTACCATGGAGGTCTCAATTCAACGGTGAATCCGGACTATGCATCTGCTGCAGCCTACTATTTTTTAGCCCTCAAATTAATATATATGATCCCAAACAACAAATGGGATATGTCTTTATTACTGGACGTAATTGCCGGTTTATCCGAAATATATCGGAAACAGATGTGTCGAACGGAGGATATTGACATATGGAACACGGGCATCAAGGCGATGAGACACATTGAGAGCACTTTATCGGATCCGTCCATGACAAAATTCTTTACCCACCGAGATAATCAGAAATGTAAGGCCGCAAGGATTCATATGAATTTTTGCCTGGCAATGACGGCAGAGGCTGACGGTGAATTTAACGACGCATTAAATTTATACGGAACCTGCAAACGTATCGGTGAATGTAATTTCGCTACGGCGGATAAATTGGTCAAGAAGGCCCACACCAAGATTAGGATCTTGGAACGTCAAGTACCAAAGGTCAAACCCGTATGTGTCTCGTGCGACTTTGAGCCAAAAGAGCTCAGCGATATTTGGAAACTGTTGGTTTGCAGTAAGTGTCAAGTGGTTGCAGCCTGCAGCCGAGAATGTTTAACGGCTCACTTGGCAACACACACTAAAGCCGAGAAGTAATATAGATTTAAATGAATCAAAAAAAAAAATAATATGTAAATCAAGTTTACTTCATTTTTGTATAAAGGATCGTTTAATTTTTCATTTTTTTTTTACTTGTTAATTTGTTTTCCCCCCCCCAAAAAAATTTTTATATTATTAAAAAATATTTATATATAATTACTGCGGCTAGCAACAACTTGTTCTCAACGTGATATGAACGAAAAAATAAAAAAAAACAAAGAAATTTTTAATTCCTTTTAGTGAACAAAAAAAAAAAAAAATTAAATTTGAATATCATATGATGGAAATAAAAATTAAAAATTGATTTTTCAGATAAAGTCATTCCCTACCTTAAAAATTATTTTTTAAAATTTTCCGTACATACATTACAAAATAAATTAATGATGCAAATAAAGTAAATAAATTCGCACGCGACCTCATACAAGTTGATCTTTTATTTCATTGGTGTGAAAATCCTATTTCCAAGAATTTTTTTGACTTTGTATTATACTAATTTTTTTTTTTTTTTTAAAAAGAAAAAAAAACGACTTCCCATTTTTTTTTTTTCTATCAATGCTTGTAAGAAATTGTAACACTTTAGAATATAAAATATAATTATTACATAACGTGGATTAATTTCTTTTCAAAATATACTTTGTAAATATTTGATGCAATTTTCAGTACTACCGAGATAATATTCGCAATATGAGGATTATTTGTGTAAGGTGACTCCATATTTTTTGTTGTTTTGCTGATAATTTCGATTCCACTGAGATTTTAGACGTGACTAGGTAGTAATAATAAATGAATAAATATTGATAATCAATGAACGATAATACAGCGGTAAAGATTTTTTTTGAGAAAGATAAGATTATAAAAAGCTGGTTGACTTCTTGATAATTAACCTGTCTAAACAAAACGTTTGACCGGTTAGTTGACCAATTATTTTATGATAATGTTAACAGGTTAATATTAAAAATTAAAATGAAAAAAAAAAAAATTAATTCTCATTAGTAATAGGATTTCACAAAAAACTTCTTTAAACGCCATCAATATATAAATCAATCTTTTCCATCTTTTTTCACTTTTCCAACAATCTCCATCATTTTCTTCTTCCGCATTTTGTACCGTATCATGTGAAATGTCGAAAAAATTTTGAGCAAGTATAGTTATATATAATGTCGATCATTTTAATATTCAATTTTTATAACTATTTTGAATTTCTGCTTCATTCAAAATGTTTGTCAGGCATCTTACAAATATTTTTATAAGTTTAAAATATTAAAAAGTTCAGTTAGTTTAAAAGGATCTTGTCAAAAAGGTCGCCCATTATAATTATGTAATATATAAAACGCGTATAAAAATAAAGTTCAACCTTTTCGTTAAAATAGTTTGAAGCTTTACCAATTTTTTTTTTTTGGATTAATATATTGATTTCTTTTCATTATTACATTTAAAAAAAAATTACCACAAATCTTTATTTGCTTTTTTTAAGAATAAAAAGTATATCTTTTGAGAGCGATTTGGCAGGTAATGTATTTTTTTTTTACTTTATTATTTTATATTATAAATTTTATTATATTAATATATAGTAATGAATTTAACAGATTGTAACTTTTTTTTTTTTAGAGTGTGAATGTGATACCGCATGCTAGATTGAAGCCTGTTTCAAACCGCTATTTATAAAAAAAAAGATACATATTATTTTATCAAAGGTAACAATAGTTCTAAGTATTTGATTTGGAATTTAATATAATTAAAATGAATGTTAATGATTTTTTTGATAATTTTCTATAAAACAAATTAGAATTTTGTTTATTTGTCAGATCAAATTGCTATAGAACTAGCAAGACAATTAAAAGCTGATGAAAATAGCAGTAATGAAAAAAGTAGTAGTAGTAGTGATAATGAAATAGATATAGGTGATGATCAATTAGAATCTGAAGTAGAGTCAATAACAACTGAAAACATGAAGCATGAAAACAAGAGAAATACTTCAATTCGAAAATAGCAACTTAAAATAATGTGCAATTATTAATTATATTGATAGTGATATTAAAAAATGTAGTTCAACAAATAAGTTATATGGATTATAACAATTAGCTAGAACTTGGCAGCTAGATACTGATATAGTAGAACAAGTTGAAGGACAACTTAAAAGTCTTGGTATATATTATAATCATTTATGTTTAATCAAAGTAAGTTACATACTGAAGGTATTATAAAAAATAAAAGTATTTCTCAGAGTTTTATTAGTCATAGGCATTATTTCTATTGTAATAAAATTTTTATGTTTTTAGCTAAGAAAAAAATTGTTGTAAATAAAGAATATATTAGTATAATAAACAAACCTTTATTTTTTAAATATTATATTTAACGTTAAATAATTAAGTTTGGAAAATTCTTTTCAATAAGTAAAATTTAATTTTCACATTTTACATGAAAACTGTCTGAATAACTGTTATATTATACTTAGAAAACTTTTTTCTCTTATAAATTTATACAGATTTTTATTAACAAAACTACATATTTCTTTTTACCTTTAAAAGAATCTTTAAAAAATGCATTTTTAAAATAGGTTTTTTTGTAAATATAAAAAAGAATAGTAGTTACTAAAATAAAAAAGTAATGATTAAAATTGTTAGATAAAATTTAAAGGTTTTATAAATATCTAAATGAAAATTAGTAAAATTATATTAAAACCTTATTAAAAAAATCTGCGAAATTCTGGAAAAGATAAAATTATATCAAAGCTTATAAATATACTAAACTATATTAAAACTTAATAAAAAATTAACAAAACTATAATTTAGATATTTTGCTAATCCAAAATGAGTTTAGATATGCAAACTTAATGACAATAGAAATTAATAGAGAGTATAGTATTTTATTAGTTTTTTAGTATAGGTTGTTAAAATATTTGGCAGCTTAGCTTTGAAGTAAAGTATTCTATTTAATATTACACAAATTTTATTTTATATAAGAATGATCTAAATATGATATTTTGCATAATTATTATTATCAAATTCTGTTAATAAAATATTTGCTACTATGATCATTTATTAAAAGATAGAAAATACTATTTAAAAATAAATTTTTTACTTTTGATAACCTAATAAATAATTTTACATTAGAGCTCTGAATCAGGTCAGATCAGTAAATTTTAAATTAATATCAGGTCAGGTTAACAGGTCGATCTGATCTAATAGAATTCAGATTAACTAATTATTTTTGAATAATAGTTTTATCATTTAATTAAAATAATTCATTATCATTCTTGAATGATATTTTTATTATTCAAGAATAATAGTTTTATCATTTTTGAATGATATGTTATCATTCAATTAAAATAATTTATTATCATTCTTAAACAATAGTTTTATTATTATTAAATGATATTTTATCATTTAATTAAAATGATTTATTATTATTTTTAAATGATAGTTTATTGTTCTTAAATGATAACTAATTATTCTTTTTAAACAATTTAGTTAGATCAGATCAGATTAGGTCAAATAAAAATTAAAATCAAGTCAGATTTTTGTTTAATCTAATCTGATTCTTTCTACTCAAGTAATATGATTGACTTAATCTAAACTAACCTGTTTATAGGATTAGATTAATTCTAGTAAGACTAGTCTTAGACTATTTAATTAGATTAATCCTATAGATCTTGGTCTATATACTGAAGACTAGTTTAGATTTAGCTATTATATTACAATATATATATATATATATATAATAATCTGTGATACATTAAATTTTATTTATATAATAAATTGTAAATTTACTTCAACATTAACTTTAATTATTTAGTAGTGGTAAAATGAAAATCAAGGTTAATTTTTTTAAATAATTCTCATGCTTTCTTTTTCTTACACATTATTTTATTTATTAAAGATGATAATGTGACAATTATTCAAAATGAAGAAGATTTTTAAAAAGATGATGAAATAAGAGATAATAATACTAATTCTAATATTCAAGAAGAATTAACTATATCATGATCTATTAGGTCAAAATAAAAAAGGAATTTCTAAATTAATTATATAGAGATATTTTAATTTTAATAATAATTATCTTACTTGTAAAGGATATAAAGTTATATTTTCATCATTAACAGAAACTTCTTCTTTAAGAAGATATCTAAATTCTCATAAAATTGTGGTACTTAAGCAATGACAAAGAACTTTACATAATTATTACAATAATTTATATTCTAAAAATGAATAATAAGAGTATGATAAATATGTTATTAATTGAATTATATGTGATATACTATTTTTCAGTATTGTAGAGTATGAGGAATGAAAACAAATAATTAATAAAATTTGATCTAAAATATCAATTTTATAATCTACATTCAATTAAAAATTAAATATTAGCATTATTTCAAAGTAAAAGAAAGTAAATAAAATTAGTAATAAGTAAAATATCAGGAAAAATAGCTTTTATTAGTAATATATAAATAGCATTTAATAATATAGCATTTCTTAATCTTATAATTTATTATGTTAATAATTCTTGAAAAATTAAAAATATTTTTACTTGATATTATTCTAATGATAGTTTATCATAATAAAATTAATATAACAGATACTATAATGAAGGTTTTATAGGTTTTATATAAAATTTGAATTAGCAAAAAAAGCATTAGCTTTAAAAACAGATAATGTAAGTTTAATGATTACTTGTGATACTTTTATAGTAGAACAACTTAAAGAAAAATTTAATAATTTAAATTTTTCTCATTATTGATATACTGCACATTTTAAATTTAGCAGTTACTAAAGAAATTAATATAGTTAATAATTCAATTAAAAAATATGCTCCTTAATGATTTATATTAAATCTTCATAACTAACTAATGATGAATTAAAAAGTATTATGTCAAGTAAAAGAAATCAAATATTTAACACCTAAATTAGATATTTAAATAAGATGAAATTTAACTTATCATATGTTAAAAAAGTGAAAATGAATAGAAATAACCTTAAATTTATTTGGTATTGATAATGAAAAAAATTAGTCAATGATTTCTTAATAATGAAGATTATAAAATTATTAATGTATGTAATTCAATTTTAAAATTAATATTTTATATATTCTAATAATTTTTCTATTTTTTAATAGAATATAATGAATTTCTTAAAACTAATTGAATATGCAATTTGTCTTTTTTAGCTTTAAATTATACAATATATAATGATATACAATCAGTTTTTTTAAGTATTCAAAAATATTTGATCAATATAAAAATAATAATAAATTTTCATAATGTATAATAGCAAATGCAATTTATTAATAATTAAAGGATTATTAGATGAATCATCACAAATTTCTTTATTATTAGATTTAAAAGTAAAGTTATCTACATTCAAAGATAAAAATGAAATTAATAAAGTAAAAGATTTAATATAAAGTTAAATAAGTATCTATTTTAACTATAACTTTTATATCAGATAATATTACAAATACAAAAAATTTTTTTAGCAATTATGAAATAATAATAATTTTACTTCAACTATTTTATCACAAGAATATAATATTCAAAGAGAGCTAGATAGATATTTAGCAATATCATTAGAAAATCAAATTAAACCTTTATTATGATAGTAATTATAACAATAAGATTTTTTAATTTTAAGTCAAATAGCAAGAGATTTTTATATATTTAAGCTACAAATGTAGCTTCAGAATAAGCTTTTCAGTCATTAAATTAGTTATTTCACTTTTAAAAAATAAATTGAAGTAGAAATATCTAAGGCAATATTATGTTTAAAGAGTTAGTTTCGTCAAAATATTTGTAAAAAATAATATAATTAATGTAGAACAAGAATTAATAAAGAAGAAAGAAACATTTTTTTAATATTAAATAATTTAATTTAGTATATATTTGTATTTATTTATAATAAAAATCAATTTATTTTTGTCTCAATAAAATTAAACTTTAATACTATATGCTAACTAAAGACTAGTCTAAAGATGATCATTGCAATTAAAAAAATAGCGCAATTGAGTTGCAACTTGTGATACAATTAAATTTCCTTATAGTACAATTATGTTGCAACTCAATTGAAATTTAAAAATAATTATGGGAATCATATTTAGACTAGTCCTTGAATTGGTCTTATAAATCAGTTTAGAAGGAAATATATTTTAGACTAGACTAGACTATTAAAACTAAATATATAAAGATTAGTCATAAATACTGATTCTAAGACTAATTTATAGACTAGTCCAATTCTAAAAAAGATAAAAGACTGATCTTTTTGAATGAGACTAGACTAAACTAATCTAATTCTACCTATTTAAAGTTTTTATTTTAGATTTATATAAATTCTCTTATTATCAAAAAATATGTATTTTTCTTCTAAGAAACTAGTATTTTATTAAAAAAAAGAAAAAAAAAATGTTAAATGCTTGATTAAAATAGATTTTTAAGTGATTAGATAAACTATTTAATATTTCTGCTTACAGCATATTTTTTGATAAGGCCTGACCAATTTGATTTTGTATTTTACATAACATAGAAGATCAAATCTAGGGGGGGGGGGGGGGGGGGGGGGGGAAGGAAAAAAAAAAAAAGAGTTTTTTTTTTTTTTTAGAGATAAAATTTATTTTGTTAAAAAACAACACACAATTTTTTTTTTTGTGTAGG